TTACGTTAATGGGGTCGTTTTTCAACCCGCGGACATGAAAAACAACCTGCGGCAACAGTGTTAAAGCAGTCCAATTCTGCGGGAAAACCGCGGACTTGGCAACACTGGAAGAGGATAGCTTCGTTTAGCGCATCAAGAACCGGGTTGACCGGGTACTCGGTACCACCGGTACTTAAGAAAACCTGGTACCGTAACGTTTTCATTTTTTTAGTACTGACTTTTGACAACACTAGTCATCAACATACAGCAAGAGTACATCAGAGTGGATGTTATTACTCAGATCATTTGATCTGGGAGGAATTGGATGAGAAATGTTTGAGTTCATCTAGAGATCTCACACTTTGCACACATTGCAGATTTATAGTCTTTGCAAATAGTGAGAAGCTATTTTCATTTTCAGATTAAACTTCTTTAATCTTTCACACACATACACAGCTAAATGAAACACTATAAAATAGCAGACTGAAAAGAACACCATGGGTTAGTGTGAAATGTTGATATTTTTATTGCTAGGACAAGCTGTGCAGAAGGGACATACATCCCTAGTTAAAGGTGAAAATTGAGATGTGTGATTTACAAGAATGTAGATGTGTAATATTTGAGATATTGCCTCTAATCTGTCTGTGTGTGTGTGTGTGTGTGTTCAGGTGATTTGGGCAGAGCAGCAGATTGCCAAGCGAAGACACAAGAGAGACATTCATATTGAACCCACAGATCCAAAATTCCCCCAGCAGTGGTACCTGGTAGGTAAAAAGTTACTGTATGTATTTATATTGTGGTTGTACATTGAGCTTTTGAATGCAATGCGTCTAAAGTGCTTCTACAGTGGAAAGGAGTCCGCCCTTGATCTGTGAGCTTTCACATTCTCTCTGATTCTTTCCCGCTCTAAATCTCCCATGTCTGTTTTGAAATATACAAACAGTATTCTGTGTGCTTACAGTCTCAAGATGACATGACATCAGAATAGATCCTTTTTTGCTTGGTTATTAAATGTCTCTCCTCTTATTGTGAATGATAATAAAGCTGAGAAAAGAGCTTTCAGCAAACGCTGCACTATCATGTATGTCTGCACTATGTTTGTACTTTCTTCTACACTGGAAGCTCCTGTCGTCAAGTCAAATTCCTGGTGTGTGTAAACATACTTGGTAATAAAGCTCTTCTGATTCTGATACATCAGTGCATGTAATTCTAAAGGACAGAAATGTTTTTCTAAATTTTTCATCACAATATAGAAACTTTCTCAGCCTCTGAAACAACTTTTCTGACCTAACCAAGGCTACCAAGGCATCCAGAGAGCAACCGGGTGGATCTGATTGGCGAGAACAGCCAAAGAGGACCTTTTCAGCTTCCACTAGTTTCTAGTGTCACAAGTTACATTAAAGTGAACCGAATGTTATCTCTGCGGTGACACTGAGGTGTATTGAAGTAGAACTCGAAAAGAGTCATCTAACCACATAAATCAAGCGTGATGAACACAAAGAAAGAATACATGCTGAGAATAGGAAGGTGCCTTATGAACTAATATAGAGAGATTATAAGGGTAGTTCACTCAAAACTGAAAATTCTGTCATCATGCATTCACTTTCATGTCGTTACAAATCAGTGTGATTTTCTTTGTGCAAAGTACAAAGAAAATATTGTAAAGTATTTAAAACTGTTAAAGTGGATGGGGTCCAAAAAAGCATTGGACTCCGCATATAGAAGAAAAAGTGAGAGATTTTTCAAAATATTCGTTTTTCGGTGAACAATCTTGGTATAGTACTGCACTATATCATGTTTGTTTGGGAGAAGAATAATTTATCCATTAAATGATTATAAACTAATCAAAGAAGTTAATTTGTGTTAAATGTATGCATTAAAAAAGTTGCCATTTTTTATAATATGAATTAGGCTGTGAGTGAGATTTGTGACCACACTAGATATAATAGATACTGTTCAAAAGTGTTCGAAAGTCAGTAAGATGTTTTTTGAAAGATATGAATGCTTTTATCCAGCAAGGATTCATTGAATTTAATTAAAAAAAAGACAGTAAAGGCATTTACATGTACAGTCAATACTTTTTTCAACATTGATAATGTTTCTTGAGCCTTAAATCAGCATATAACAATGTTTTCTGAAGGATCATGTGACACTGAAGACTACATTAGTTATTAATCAAATAAATGCAGCTTTGGTGAGCATAAAATACTTCTTTTAAAAGCATATTCTTACCAACTCCAAACATTTGAATGGTAGTGTAGATATAGACAAAGATATTTGCCAAATAAACATACATCTGAATTTTTAGGGAGTCCAAAATAAACCTATATTATTTTAATAGCAATTAAGATTTATATCATAGATTTTTTTTATTGAATAAAAAGAAGGCAGATAGTATTACAGCCTAATGTGTTCACAGTGGACAACACAAGTTCCACCCTACATTATGTCCTGCAGAATATTCTGTTCCACTCTGAAATACATCACAGATGTGAAAATGAGTTGCAAATTTTGTTGTCAAATCAAACGATGGCGTAAATAAGGCATGAATATATAAATATTTGTTATTCAGGTTAGTCCTGTGACCTGCACGCACATGCAGACAACAACCGAAAGAGAAGTGAGCTGATGTATTGACGGTCACGTTCACTGACAGAGAAGGCACAACATCATATTAACCTTCGCCGAATCTTTTTAAATCATTTTATTAAGTGATGACAGATTCAGAATGAGTCTGACTCACTGAGTTTATACAAAACTTACACAAAATAATTACTATGTGTGGGTGTATGCATGAATACTCGCTCACATCGGTATGTCTTCAAATATTTGTTTGCATAACTGCTTTTAAAGCTCCGTTCTGTATTCAGAGCATGAGCCCTAGTCCAAAACATATTAATGCGTGAACCGAACGACCAGAGAGCATCCTAGGCCACGGATGACAAAACAAACGCGAGAGCTGCCGTTCTCCATTAGCATACTAATCTGTTAAAGTTTCGGCTCCTTCACAACCTCTTTAAGCCACATCTGTACGCGTCACTGTCAAACATTACCTGAAACACACACACTTTGTGCTTTTATACTAGAAAATGGAGATTGTATCATTGTTGACAAGGGAATAAATGCTTTTTAAGTTGTTTACTCTGAAGAAGCAACACAGAACGATGAGCAATTTGATTCTGTCTGCTTATTTTTATGCTTTTTGTCAGGGGGAGAGAAGGTTGTGAAGGGGGCAGTTATCTGAAGACGTGCCAATTGAAGTTTTTCATTGTGTTTCTGCACCCAATTTCCACATTTGCGTTTAATGTTCGTCTTTCCGCATTGAAGGAAATATTCAGCTGTGCCATTTTAACAGATGGCGTTGAGCATAAAGCAAAGTGTGAGGAAATGAAATAGAGCGAGAGAAGGAGATAGGACAAGAACTTCACTGGGGAAAAAGCTGTCGGGTTAAAAGGAATGAGTTTCCACACCTTGTTGGGATCGTCCTGCCGACAGGCTGCCATCTGGGAGGAAAAAGCATGTGACTGTATGAGCAGTCATCTTTCATTAGCATTAGCTCCTGCAGCTGGGCCTTTCTCAGTGGCAAGGGTAAAAAATCAGTGTGTGTGTATATGTAAAGTCCTGCAGGTGGGCTTTCCTCTTCTGGGAGGTCTTGGTCAAAGACTGTTAACGCTCCCCTCCCAGAATGGCTCGGAGGGAGCTTTACAGAGTCTAACATTTGCCTTTGCTGAAGGGAAATAAAAGAACTGAGGAATCTGCCACCAGTGAACTTGCATGTAAAATCTGACTAATGATGAAAAATCAATTTTCTTGCAGTACAACCCCAGTCATGGAGACCTGAATGTGAAGGAGGCCTGGGCTCAGGGCTTCACAGGAAGAGGAGTGGTCGTGACCATTCTAGATGACGGCATTGAGAAAGATCACCCCGATCTAGTGAGAAACTATGTGAGCCATCCTTTTTCACAAACTACATTTTGAAGAGTGAGCAATGATATTTATATGACTGATTAATATATGTCACAGGTTTGTGGTCAGTAATGTTTTTTTTAAAGAAATTAATACTGTTATTTAGCAAGGATACATTAAATTGATCAGAAGTGACAGTAAAGTATGTATAATGTTGTTTTCAACATAAAAAAGAAATGCTTCTTGTGCACGAAATTAGCATATCAGAATGATTTCTGAAGGATCATGTGACACTGAAGACTGGAGTAGTGATGCTGAAAATTCAGCTTTGCCATAACATGAATAAATTACATTTTTAAATGAAAATACAAAATACTTGTGTTTTTACTGTATTTTGTTCAAAGAAATGCAAACCAAGAGACTAAAACATTAGATAATCTTATTAACCCTAAACTTCAAAGTACATTTGCGTACAAGTGTACATTTGAATATAAATACATTGGTATTATTTACTGAATTTAAAACTTTTTGACAAAAATCTTAAAAAGAGGCTTGTTATAAATCATTTGATATGCTTCAGAAATTGTACATGCAGGGAAAAATATATTTGTGTTGTGATCAATCAATTATCGCAAATTGTGGATGTACAAAATGCATTAAAATGAGGCAAAAATAGATTTCTGAAGTAAAACTGATTTTTCTGATACAAATCTTTAGAGTTAAGATTTTTAATTTTCTGTAGTTCTTCAGGCATTTATGAACATTCATAAGCTCTGCCCTCTTTGGTGCACTGATGATCTTGTCATCTATTATTAATTCACTGACATTGACGTTGTCATTTATAATTAATTTATTGACTCTTTCCAAACCTGAGCTGCCTACCTACACAGCATTTATGAGCATCATATGTAATAGTCAGTTAGTAATGTGGACTAGTTTTTGTGTTTTGTAGGCTTTATTTGTAGCAGTGGTGCATTAAAGGGAATGAATTAACAGGTGCAACATTTTTGAGATGGTTATAACATGCTTCTGGCATGTTGTGCTGTTAGACCGTCAACACTGCCAGGGTAAACTCTCTATCTGTAAAGCTGCATCTTGTTAAATTCATAACATTTAAAGCATTGCTGCTATAGCCATCAAAACACCACTTGTGCAACAAATTTGCCTTTGATGACAAATTTATGTCATAACATAATGAACGGTATGTATCAGAAGGGCTGTGCAGTCAGTGCTATTTTCAATCATTGGTCTTTGAACACAGGCAAATGGATATCGTTGCATCAAAAATGTCTCAGAATGTTCTGTTGCATGTCATTTCACTCTGTCTGGACACATTATATGAGTGGCCCAAAAGAAATGCATCTGATCTGCGTGTGGTGGACATGACCCTAAATCAGCCTAATTATACAGGGCTTCGTTAACATTAATGAGTCACTCAGATGGCCCACTTACTAGTCGATTTTGATATGTAATTTTGCACATTTCTGGTTCACTGAATTCTTAATGTTCTGATTCACAAATACATCATTTGCCGTTAAAGTACTTTGCACAGTAGAAATGTGGTTTCAGTAATACAGTCAGCATTATGAAAACTTTCCTTAATACCTGGTTTTGCATAGCAATTAGACTCTTCACAGTGGCTTCATGAGGTATTTGGGGTTACCGAACATTTCTATTCAGCCTTATTGTACATTCTATCCCATAATGCTTTCTGCTTAAATCGTTCTTGCCTCAGGTGTCTCAGGAGTTTGCAGCATTTTACCTTAACCATCTCTATGAATTGAATTCATATCAGCAGACAGTTTGCTACTTAAGAAGCATATCGGTGTGGTGGACATGACCCTGAATTAGTCTAATTATACCTAGTAGTGCTTGATTATTAAAATATGTGACCCTGGACCACAAAACCAGTCTTAAAAAACGAAATATCTCCCTTTGGAGTGGACTTTGAGATTTGTAACTTTCTAGATCTTTTTTATGCCCAAACATACACACTACACACTGACTAAAATTAAAAAAGTGAAAAAGCATAATAGACTGGTTTTGTGGTCCATGGTCACATATGTGGTTTTGCACATCCTTTGAATGTGAATCCATTTGAATATTCAAATACATCTGCAATGCCTAATAATGCCATCTAGGTAGGTGTGCATCCAAGCAATGCAAGATAAAATTCTCAGTGACAGCACAAAAGCTAAGGTTGAGAGTTGCAATATGATCTTTTTGATTTGTTATATTTTATTTTAAGGATCCTGATGCCAGTTATGATGTGAATGACAGAGATCCGGACCCTCAGCCCAGATACACACAGCTGAATGACAACAGGTACGAATTTCTCTCTCGTCTTTTTCTTTGCCGTTCCAAGCAGTGCATCCACAGCAGGGTTGCCAGATCTGTCAGCCTGCAACAAACATGCCATATTGCAGAAGCTCTTTGGTTGTAAATGTTTTAGAGGTTCTTTCAGGTAACGAGAGCCAGAATCTGTCTTGTGTAAACATGCGTACTGCTAACTCCGGCTGTGTTTGGAAACCTAGTGTGCCACCTACCTAGATTGCATTTTGGGTGCGTTTGATCAAGGTAGGCAGCTCGCTAGGGCTCTTCTCTTTGGTGCACTGATTTAAGCTGTGATGTACAGCGAGTAACTGCGGTGCAGAGATATAAAGTAGTTTGGAGCCGCGTTGTTCGGTAGGTTTAATGCAGTCAGCGAAGCACTTGCCGTTCAGAGACGTGCACCAACAGCTGTTAAATACTCATGAAAAATGCATTTTAGAGGAAATCTCATAACTGCACAATGTGCCTTTGGTTTCTGCATAGGGAGCACTTCCTTTTCTGTGCTTCTGCCTATCTTTCTGTTTTTTTTTTGTTTTGTCTCTGTCTGTCATGTAGCAGCAATCAGTTGCCTGCCGCAGCACCGTTGAAATTAACCGACCAGTGACCTCTCTCATCTTTCACTCTCCACGCCACTTTCCGTTTTTTCTGTCATTATTTTTAAAGAGCATTTTGAGCACTATTTAGAGATGCACAATCTACAATATAACTGTCCTCCGTCTCGCCTTCCTCTTGCTCCGTAAATCAGCTTAGATTTAATTTAGTGCACTGAAGACATTTGGATGTTTACTCTTCCTTTTTGATAGACTCGTGGCCATTAAGCATCACTAGATCAGCGTAATGGAGGGTAGCCTCATCCCACCCCTTTAACCCCCAGACCGTTTCTTCATCCCTCCACCCTGAAATCTCCCAGCAGCCCATGCATCGCTCTGCCGTCAGGGGGATTTGATTCAAATATCTTGCACTCTGGGCTTCCTGCCAGGGCTCTTTCTCCCTGTTTCTTTCCCTTGTTTTTTGTTTTTTTTCCTGTTCTGTTCAGAATCTCACAGCAGAAGGATGGAGAGGAAAGACTCCAAATTCGGTATCTCCTCAGAACAGTGCAGTTTACAAAGTTGCAGAAGCAAATCTTCTTTAACGAATCTGTTAACACTGCCACAGTCGTGTTGGAGCGCCTCACTCTGCTACTAACATGCTGAAGTTACTGTCTTCACTCCTGCTAATACCGTCGGCTGCTACTTAAAGTGTGACAGTCTCTTCGTGGCAACAGTGGAGCCGTAACAAGCATTCGTTATCCTCTCGGTGTCCAGACACACACACACACACATATCATGATCAATCAGCTGAGGAAAGTAGGGGGAGTCCATCCCCAACACCTCACAGGAAGTGTGGCACATCTTGAATGCTTTGGCTGTCAAGATCATTATCCTGAACTGAATCGGTTCAAGTCCATGAAATGAGAAGCAGAATGCATGACTGTGTCAATAGCCGAAACGTTGAGGCGGTCTCATAGAGGGCAGATTGCATCAGAGGGATTTATTCCATACAGATGAAAGAGGCACATTATGGATTCTCAACAAAATTATATGTTGTAAATTGCAACCGAGAAACAGGCTTCTCTTATGAAAGGCAGCTTGTTTTTACTTTTTTTGAGTCCCCTGTAAAACCTGATCTTGAGATGAATTGGAGCCTCGGCTATTGAGCGAAGCACATGGCAGAGTCATCAAGCCCTTCAATGTGATTAAATGGGAGATAGTGCCAGCGTTGCCAGGTTAGCGTCCATGCATCTTTTGAAGACAAAAACACATTTTTCTATATAGCCTATATATTGACACAGGCGTCGGTGTCCACACTAAAGAGTAATTGTTGGCTTCATGTCTTTTATGCACGGATGTGTGTGTGTGTGTGTGTGTGTGTGTGTGTGTGTGTGTGTGTGTGCCACAGCTCTGTTCAGTCAGAAATCACACAGAAGTAAATGATGGATGGTTATAATGTCTAATTGATTAAATTAGGTGTTAAACATTAATTAGTCAAATATAGACAATGGAGACATACAGTAAAATATTTTTTTAAAATAATGTTTGTGTTTTAGATGATTCCAAACATGAGTTGCTGGCATCGTCAGCGGGCTTAACTAACTAACTTAACCAACCAGGCTTGCTTTTTCAGCCAGCTCAGTTTCAATACTTCGCAATGATTTCTTCTGAAACTGTAGAGCAGGGGTGTCAAACTCATTTTCACTGAAGGCCACTTCAACATTATGGCTGCCATGAAAGGGCCGGTTGTAACTGTAAGACAAATGTTACTATTCCTTAACATATTGTTAAATAACTGTCTCTTTATTTTGTTATTACTTATTTAAGTTACAAATATTGCATGCATTTGCATAGATGTAATATATGTAATTGCTCTGTTATTTTAACATAAATCCTTTTAATTTATCAGGTTAAGAAATCCAAATTACTCTATAAATCAAAGCAAATAATAAAGACAGGTATCATCAAACACAAGTCATTAACTTTGTTAAAAACTTTTTTTTGTTACATTTATGGCACAACAAATAATTGTGAGCTGCTAAGAACGTGTGACAGATATGGTATGAGCCCGGTCTCATGAAAATGCGTATCAATAGCACGATTTTCTGTTTCTATTTGGCATGCAATTTATAAGTAGAAATTTACTTTGGTGTGCATATGATACGCAATCAATGCTTGTAGTAGAAAAAAAGAAGTGGTACTCAACCCCACTCCCCCACCCAAAAATAAATAAATACAAACTAAAGTACTAAAAAAGTACTTTTTAATTTTCATAATTCGCAATGAATGTATATAGTGCCACAATAAATAAATAAATTCATTAATAATTGTTTGCAATTCAATTCACATTTATTTGTATAGCACTTTTCATGATACACTGTTGCGAAGCAGCTTCACAGAAAATGAACATTTCTAAATTACATTTATTCGTTTACAGCACTTTTAATAAAAAATTGCACAAGTCAATCTGTGATACCAAACAAGAACACAGGGGGACGCCAAAAAAACACTGAACGAGCTACCTTGACCTGACTGTTCCAGATTTACTAAACCACTGACTACTGCGTAATCTAAAACACCTTCAGCCAGCATCCAGTATAAAACACTCGTGCTTTTAAGACAAATAGCTTGCTGATTTTTTTTTTACTGACATCTGTACGTGAGTACTATTTTCTCTGCCATCTCTGATGACATCGGCCGTGTTTTCTCTGCATTAGCGCTGTTTTGAACTTACTGTTTGAATGCATTCGCTTACTGGATCCTTAGACTTTCCAGGAGTTTACCGGTTGATCTGATCGCAAAAAACCTGCTTCTTGAATGAATCATTTATTTATTATAATGTATTGTTTTCGTTAAAATTTACTGATTTAAATTCGTAATTATTATTTTATTACTCTACGCTAGGGTGACCACCTGGCTATAGATCTGTTGCAGGACAGTAGATGTGATTTTATGGGACAATGCGGGACATATACATTTATTCCTGTTATGCTATGTAAATACTGATTTACATTCGTTGGCATATATGCGCCAATTTATTTTTCTGCCGGTGGATGCCCACACTCCAGGTTGCGTTAATTAAACTTAGGAAAGAAGATATTTTTTGAGCGCACACATTTCATGCGCTCTTGCATAGGCAATATAATGCGCTCTGGACATTTGTCAGTAAAATAACTCCATAGAAACAGCCTCAAACGATCTATTAAAATGAGAAGAAAGTAGTGTCTGAAAGCTGCAATCGATTTTTTTTTAATTCGTTAAATGAAAGGAGAATATCGTGTTTTTCCATGTGTGCTGCTTGACCATTGGTGCTCGAGCACTTGATGAGGTCCGCTTTATTCCTTTGAGCCGTCCACGCAGTCGTCATCAACGGAAAACCCCCACACCCGTAATCCTAACCATTGCGTATCATATGCACACCAAAGTCAATTTCTGCGTATAAATAGAACTCCAAATAGAAACAGAAACTTGTGGTACTGATACGCACTTTCATAATTTACGAAATAAAGCAGCATAGATTTTTATTTTAAGAAAATCATATGCTCTCGCGGGCCACATAAAATGATGTGCGGGCCGGAATAGTTTGACACATGTGCTCTAGAGGAAGCACATATGAGAGTATTTTCTCAGGTAAAAAAAATGAAAAAGCAGAAGATGCATCTCCATCTGCTCTTCATTTCTATCTAGGAGAAACAATTGAGATCTCATATTAAATATATCTCTTTTTCTTTCCTACGGGACATCGCCAGGTGCTCAGAATAATACGCTGATCCAAAGACAGCTGCCTTTCTTTGATATGTTCTCAGAACATGGCAACAAGAGACTATTTCAATGCCTATCTACTGAGAGGGAGACGGAAGCAAACACAGAGACAAAGGGAGACAGTTTCCTGTATTGAAGGGCACTGTAAGATGTTTTTTTTTAGTTCATTTCTTTCACATGTCCTTCATTTTCTTTTTGTTCCTATGTGTAGATGGCTAATATTCACAAAACGCTGCTTACATTTCTTTGAACCAATTCCACACAGACAGTGCAAGTGAGCTGAAAGCTCTGCGTCATTTCAGCAGCATCATGCTAATGTTAGATACTCATCCAGCTACTGAAGAGGGTGGAGGAGGATGGCATACGTCTTTGTTTTCGTAGCCACAATTGTACACACCTGCTTTAATCTGATCCTCCATAACCCATTTCAGCCGGCACTCCACATGTCCAGGATTTGAAGCTTTTACACTAATGTTCAGTGGGTCTGGTTTATTTGGAATGAACTCTCTGCCAATGACGACTGGACAGTTAAGTGCTTATTCAGATTCAAATAGAAGTGGCAGAAATGGTTTGGCGTAGACTGAGAGCTGGAATGACATTAATGGTCTCTCTCTTCGTCTCTCTCTATCTCACTTTGTGCTGTAGTTGTGATAAGTGAGTGATGTGCTTGCTGTTGTGGGGTTAGTAAGAAAAATATGGGCC